CTTAAAGGGCTACGCTTATACTCATAGAATCTGGGGTTACAGTACGTTACCAACGTCTATCTGTTTATCTGAAATATCCCTAAACTACAAACATTTTATTTTTTGTCCTGTTTTACTTGCCAAGTGAAAGAGAAAATGCACCCCCATACCATCAGAGAGGCAGACATTTGAACTGTGAATGATAACAGGCCAGATGATCCCTCTTCTCTTTAGTATGGAGGACAAGGTGTTGGTTCCAAAAAGAATTTCAAAGTTTGATTTGTCGAGCCACAGAACAGTTCTCCACCACGCCTCAGCTGAGCATCGGTCCAGAGGAGTTAGCAGAATTTCTGAATGTTCACATGTGGCGGGCAGCATGGTGGCTCAGGTGGTAGAGCTGCCTCTTCTCAGTGAGAAGGCCCCTGGTTTGAATCCGGTCCGGGGGGTTTTCTGGGTGGAGTTTGCATGTTCTCTCCGTGCATGCGTGGGTTTTCTCCAGGTACTCCAGTTTCCTCCCACAGAACAAAAACATGCATGTTAGACTGATTGGTAACTCTAAATTGTCTCTAGGTGTGAGTGAGAGAGTGAATGGTTGTTTGTCTCTATGTGTCCCTGTGATGGACTGGAGACATGTCCAGGTGTCCCTGTCTCTCACACAGAGACTGCTGGACATGGGCACCAGTGACCCCCGTGACCCGAAAAGGAAGCAGCGGGTAAAGATGATGGATGGATTTTTTGCAGTGGCAATGCAGAATGGTTTGTGTGGTGGATGTGGGGGGTTTGATCAGGTGACTGGAGCTAACCAATCAGAACAGACAGGTTTTATGATTGAGGGAGCAAACTTCTTTACTTCTGGGTTTGGAATAAGACTCAAGACAAACAGAACGAAACAGGAAGCAGACTGAAGTCTGCCATGATACATATACCTGTTCTAGCTCGGTCCAGGTGGCATCATCCACACAGCAGCAGGACCTTCAGAGGGACTCACCCAGGAGGGTTCATGAAGAACAAAATAAAAAAACAAAGACTCAATGTGTAAAAGTAACCGTTTTGCTGCGACTTCCTGGAACCATTTGTTTATGACTAACAACGGACACTGTTAGCTCAAAGCAGAAGTGTGTTAAGACACTTCCGCATGCACCCCCCCCCCCCCCCCACACACACACACACACAGTGTATTTCAATCTATTTAGCAATAGACAGACATCTGACTTCTCACTCATGTAAATGATTGTACGAGCATTTAGACAGAAGGAAGCCATGTTTTTGTCCGTCTGTGATCAATATCTGTTGAACTAACTGGAAATATTTGACTGAAACTTGCAGGAACTAATAACTGGAGGTACATCTACAACTTTCTTTTTTTTTATTATTTTCTTTTTTTTTAGATGGCCTCCCTTCTCCCCTTACAGCCATCCTCTCCACACCATTATTATGAAATATTTATTCTAGTGACTATCTAGTGTAGTTTTTTTTTTTTTTTTTTAATTGGATAGAAAGAAAGAAAAGACAAAGTAAGACTCCAAAATATAAGAAATATACACAAAGAGAGCACACGTCAAAACACCCGGCCACTGTCTGTTCACCTGCAAAGAACATGACAAGACACAGCAACAAAATACATATGTATAAAGAACTTAAAATATTCATGGCTTTGCAGCAAGTCTCCATAAATATATATACCCATACCTACGCCTATATACATACATACATACACATGAATATACATTCATATACATATCTATATATCTACATATAAAGCCTACATAAGCATCCCTGCTTCTATTTGTGTGTGGTTGTGAGCATGCATAAGTGTATAAGGCTTCTCTAATAGAACATTTATTAGTAACTGTGAAGCAGCAGAGACCCGACCCCCAAGACCAGAGGCAGACGAAAAAGGGGGGACCAGAGCCCAAGACCCCAGGAGGGACCCCGACCGCGGAGCCCCCAGAGCCACCCACACAGGACAAACCACTCGCCCATCCCCCAGATCGGACTACAGGGGAGAGCCGGAAGATCCCCACCAGCGACCACATACAGTGACCCCCCGGGGCCAACAGCGACGAACTCATAGGCCCCCGCCGGAACCCGCCGCACCGATGTAGGTCCAGGCCCGGGCACGGAGGCCTGGGCACCGAGGACCCACACCACCCAGGCCAAGGCCTGACAGGGCCAGAGGACCCGAGCCCCACCAGGCAGACATCAGGCCGAGCCGACACACGCCCAAGCGCCCAGCCCCCGACTCCAAGCACACCGGCAGGCAAGGGCACACCCCACCAGGGGGCCGCGCGATAGGGGCGCGATGCCAAGCACCCCCAGTTGTATCAAAGAGGGGGCAGTCCAAGTCTCGGCCTAACAAATACCCATTCATACACAGACACAATCACACAATCCCAACCTCAGTCTCACACTCACTCACTCAAAGACATACAATAACGATACATTTCATTCTTATTCCCGATACGCACTCTATACCCCCCAGGTCCAAGACATGTACCCGCCCTCTACAGGGGGCAGCCCATGCCCAAACCCAGGAGGTAGACCCATTCATTCTCGAGCGGAGAGGAGCCAATATTCCAGACCCGGCCACGCCCAGCCGACAGGAACATCTCAACCTGATTTGAGATGGATGCTGCAGCCAACAGACCTTTACAAAAACTAAACAAAATATAAAAATGGATCAAAGCCTGTCCATTTTTAACATATTGACTTAAAATCGTGTGGTAGCAGCTGAGACTGATCCTCAACTCATATTCTGAGCTCAAACTGATGTGCAATGTCTTCGTTTCAATATCTGTCACCAACTATTTGACCTGTCTGTTAGCAAAATGTCTTAAAAACACTTTATGAAATATCAGAGTTCATGCTCAATAATCCAGGTAGAAAAATCCAACAAAGTTCAGCCAGCTCATCTGAATGGTTTCTGATGAAGTCCTTTGGATGGACGAAACAGTTAAAAATAGAAACCATCCAGATGACCTGACTGAACTGTGTTGGATTTTTTTACCTGGATTACTGAGCATGGACTTTGATGTTTTGAACACTTTGGCTATGGCTGCCTGAGAGGAGTTGACGGGGGAGAGGGCGGGCCCCATAATCCATCTTATCACCATCAAACTATGTGAGTGTGCTGCTTGTGGGACTGAGTTTGTTGTGGCTCCTTCCACTGATGAAGTCCTTTGGATGAAGGATGAAACCAAGAGAGAGAAAAAGAAGAAACCATCCAGAGGACCTGACTGAATGTTCAGAAAGAAATCATCGGATGTTCATCGACAACTGAGTAACTTTTGAAATATAATTGAACATTGAGAATAATTAGCCACAGCTAGTCAACGTTAGCCAAAACAAAAATGGCTATAAATCGAGGCCAGTCGAGTCTGGGTGGACGGATCAGACGGCATCTGCAGCCAGTTTCTCAGGATCCACTGTGGGATGGACCTTTACAAGAGATCCTTCCTGTCTGCAGCCATCAGCATCTATAACATCTCTTAATGAAATGAAGATAACGAGTTACAACAACAAATAATTTCCCTCTGGGATTAATAAAGTATTTTTTGAATTGAAATTAATAAAGTATTTTTTGAATTGAATTGAACTCAATAAATGTTGAAAAATTGAGCTACAATGAGTCATAGTAGCCGAGTCACTCTCAACACACTGTGAGTGTGAGAACGGTACGACACCTACGGTTACCTTCAGGTTTGAGATAAACTTATACAAGCTAACGTCTCGACATACGACCGACCATCTTGGTGTGAAACTGTGGGCGATATGCATTCCTTCAAGAAAGTCTTGACCTGTAATTTTATTATGAAATGGTGGAATCCAATTTACGCAAACGGAGTCTGTATTCAGGTCAGTGTGAGTCACATCGAGCAGCTGATGGAGCAGCTGATGGAGCAGCTGATGGAGCAGCTGATGGAGCTGCTGACGCTGATCCAGACAGTACGGCAGCGTCCGGTCACACTTTAACAGAACAGTTCACTGTCCACAAGGAAAAAATAAAAACGAGTCAACAACGTTTGATAGCAAAACTAATTTTATTTAACGATTCTAAATATACAAATCTGTCATAAAATAAAAAGTACAAATGCTACATTTTTTATAAAACTAAGTGCGTTAAAAAAGAGGTTCCCTAGTTAGCTTTATTATTTGTGTTCCAGCCCAGAAAAGTTCATTTTACTAACACACACACATAAAGACAGACTTAATAACAATAAATACAGGATTACACATGCACAAAGAAACACATGTGCCACAGATGTGAACCTCTCTCTAACAAAAAAAACATTTACCAAAAACCATTTTGATGATCCTCCAAAACTTTTGAACTATTGAATGGACTGATGATAGAAACGTGTCACTTTCTGAACGACTGTGTGTAAAATAAACTCTGCGTTTCAGAAGAAGGCCGTATTGATAGTCAAGCATGGTGGTGGTAGTGTGATGATCTGGGCCTACTTTGCTGCTTCAGGACTTAAACTATTTGCTGTAAGTGATGGAACCATGAGTTCAGCAGCAGGACGATGATCAGCAGCATTACATTTATTCAGAGGAGATTAGTTTTTCACAGTCAGGTTGGTTTGGATAGTCTTTCACCTAAATATATGAATAATCATCTGAAATCTACTTTTTATATATTTCCTCAGGTCATCTTAGTCTGAAATGAACATTTGTTTGATGATTTGAAACATTTAAGTGTGATAAGAACGCAAAGTCAAGAAGAATAGTAGCTGTGGTGAATAGTGTTTTACTGCATTAGCTTTACTTCTCCATAATTCTTCAAACGGATTACTCTGACTGCAGGCTAATGCAGGTAAGATACTGACTGTTCATACTTACTCTACACAGCCCCAGCTTTTTATTCATACTTGATGTTGGACAGAAATACCTCCATCAGTGTACACAGTAAAATCCTGTTTGTGTCTGATAAAGACACCTTCACAGCATCTAACATGGAAGTTGTTTTTGATTAGTCAGCCCGCTGTGATGAGTGTTTTTACCTGCAGTGGAAGGAGGAGTCAGGTTTGGCCTTGCTCTGTGGAGCTCCATACAGAAGGATCCTCCTGCATGGCTAACGTCTGATTTACAAACTTCAGCATCCCTGTCAGCGAGGTCACATCAACGTCCTCCTCCTGACCCATGGTGGCGCTCACAGGCTCCCTCCTTTCTGCTTCCTGCACTAAAACAGCCTCCATGCTGGACTCTGTGTTGTCCTGCTTGTCCACCATGTAGGTCAGTGGATTAAAGGACAGGTCAGAGAGCAGCGTGGTCTCTGCGGCGCTGAGCCCCTGCCAGCTGTGGTCCACTGTTTCTGGGAACAAAGAAATGGAAGGTGAGGAAGACTTCCATGGCCTGTTGTTGAGCACCTCCCTCACTGTGGCTTTCAGGCTCCAAGGAAGGTCCAAGGAGGAGTTGATGCTGCTGCTCTGAAGACAGTCACAGGCTGGGGGGCCCCCAGACAGCTGGAGGGCTGAGCTGGGCTGAGGACACGGGTGAGCAGGCTGTGTGCAGCGTGTCAGAGAGCACGGGTGTACAGCGTGATCAGGAGGGCCGAGACTTGGCTGGAGCTGTTTGGGAGGTGAGGGAGGTGAGGGTCTGGGTTCTAAGGGCTCAGTAAACATGTGCAGGGCAGGAAGTGGAAGTGTCTGATTGAACAGATTCTGTTGTTCAGCAGCTCCCCCCAGACTAAAAAGCTTGTCCTGGAGACGGGTCGTGTCAGACTCCTGCCAGAAGACAAGAACTTTGATTAATGAAACAGACGACAGGTTCAACAACACGTTCACCCACCCAGATGTGTTTGTAATTATTCTGAGGAGTCAGATCGAGGTCGATCTTGTTCTCCGCTACTGTGACCAAAAAGAGAAACAAAGTTACTGAACCAGTTGTACAAGAAGGATGTTGGGTATAAAGTGTGGGTCAGATCTGTGCAGCTTCCATGTGATGTCAGCAGCTCCTGGCAGCACGGAGAACAGAAGGGGCTAATCCTGTACACCATGTCCTTATTCTCACAGCACACACTTTGGAATGCTGGGGCCTGAAGGAAACCTGAACAACCTGTTCACCTGATGACCACAACCCTGGTGCACGCTGACACAGAGCCAAAATGGGGAGGGCAGCGAAACTGACCTGCCACAGCTTTGACTGATATCAGTTACACATATAAAACAAATGGTTGTTTTATGAGTTGGGTCATTTGTGTCCAACAGCTTGTAACAGTGTGACAATAACCCGATGACTGTAAAACAACCATGAAGCGTCACAGAGCTGATTAACTCCAGCAGCTGATTTGTAAGAGAACAAGAGCGGCTTCATTTTGTCTAAATATGAAAACTGGGTCTGGTAATGGGTCTATAAATTAGGCCACCAAACAGCACATCTTTATCACAGGGTTAAACTACCACCGACCTGCGTGATTGTATTAAGAACAAATGTTTTGAGGGGGGAAAGCACTGCGAGGGTGGTGACATCGGGTGGTGCTTATCTTTGCTGAGCTCTGCATGTCTGATGCATGCTCAGTAATCCAGGTAGAAAGAGCTAAGCAGATCCAGGACTCTGCGGTCTACACTCATCTGCAGGCCAGAGGTCACTCATTCAGGGATGAAGATGTTCACATCCTGGACAGAGAGGAGCGATGGTTTGAGAGAGGAGTAAAGGAGGCCATCTTTGTGAAAAGAACCTGTCCATCATTAAACGGGGCGGAGCCTCCGTGTTCAACCGCTTAGCATCGCTCTGTGTAAATCACCATCGCATGATTTAGTGCTGAGAACTGTCTTTAACATTTTTTAGCAGACTTTAATTTACCAGAATTAAATTTACCAGGAGCTAATTCTGCTAAAGGTTTTCGGTGAAAACGCTAATCTGCTACATGGAAAGTTAGCTCCACTATTATCAGATTATCCAGGGTTTCATTTGAGCCGGATCCTGTCAGAACAGGATCCAGGAGCTCCCTTGTTTTGACAGGGTACGTTCTGGTAACTGTTTACTTGGATCTGGTAACTCTCAGGCTTAATAATAATAAAGTTATGAACAAATATGACTGCTTTAAGCTAGTAAAACTTACATTGGATATGTAAACTGAAAATAATTACATAAATACTAAGCCCACTATGTGCGTTCCGGCATGGATTGGTTTACAAATTAAGCCCTGGTCAGAACGGTGCCCACCACTAGAGACTAACAACCATTTACACTCTTACTCACACCTAGGGACAACTTACATGTTTCAATTTGACTATGACAGTCTTCTTTTAATCTAAAGTGTTTTGATAATTTAAACTGCTGAACAGTGCAGATCTTTCTGAGCTATCAAAGGACAATAAAGAAACTGACTCTGACTGCTCAGCTTTCTGTCAGTCTGAACACCTGACTGACTGACACCTGAGGAGTCAGAGGCTTTGCTGCTGGAAAGAAACGAGTAAAACTGCAGACATTCAAGGTGCATTACAGCTTGTCCAGGTTTACATTGTACAACATTTTACAGGTCACAATTCTTCAAAAGAAAAGTTAAACAAGCTAAAATAAAGTGAAAAACATTGTCCTTTGAAAAGAAACCATTGCAGATGGACTCTGACGTCTGAAACGTTTATCCAGCAGCCCAACACTAGTTCAAAGTTCAACTTATACGGCTGAAGGTGGTATCTCACTGAGCTGGGACTGTTGGGAGACTGGTTGTGTGAATGTGAATGAAGCATCCACTCTGCTGTGACACAGTTTTCTTCCGTATGTTTTAAGCACGATTCTCTTCCCCCAGTTTTCAAGCTATTTCAACAAATCTTTTTTAAGAAAATCCTGCTATGACTTTTGGGAACTAGCTTTTTGAAATATTTAGCCTTTTCTGCCATTTTTTTCCTCATAGAAAATGAATCGAGTTCATTTTACATCCTTCAAATCTTTAGATCTGTTTACAAACTTTTACTGCTCCCTTCACATTTTGTTCTGCTTCAGCTTCTTTGTGCAAATTTAAACTTTTTTTCCAGCCATTTTCAGCTAATTTTAGCTGTTTTGTGATCTTTCAGATTCTTTCCCCTTACTGCAACATTTTTGTGCTTCTTCAAACTTCTTTCTGATAATTTCAGCTTGTTGTGGTCCCTTCAGCTGATTTCTGCAAGTTTCAGCTTTTTCTACTATTTTGGCTTTTTAGCTGTTTTTATGCTGATTTAAGTTTATTCAGCTAATTCCACATTTTTTGCGCTCATTAAAACTTTTTTTTAGCCTCATTCAGCAAAAATATGCTCTCTCCACTTCCGTCTGGTAACTTAAGCTTGTTTATCCAAAAAAGTTCAATCTGGTCCTCTGGACATTCAAAAAAAACAAAAAACAAAACAAAGCAAAAAAAATCTAGAAACGTTTCGTCTCTCATCCAAGAGACTTCCTCAGTCTGAGGTGCTGTTTTCAGCTCAGTCTCTTAAATAGCACCTTCTCAGGGTGGATCAACCAGTTGATCAGTTTCCAAATATCTGGCGTCTGTACTCATCCCTTTAGTTGGCAGCTCAGAACACCACATACAGAACACCATGGACTTTGTGGATAAGGTGAGGGATGTCATCATGGAGACTGATGAAACAATGGTCTCTTTTGATGTCACATCCCTCTTTACGTGCATTCCTGTTGATGATGCAGTAGAGGTGGTCAGTTTAAGATTAAAATCAGACACCACTCTGAGCAGCAGGACCACGCTTTCCACAGAACAACTGGGTCAACTCTTGAAACTGTGCCTGCAGTCAACCTACTTCACATATGGGGAGCAATATTATAGGCAGAAACATGGGTGTGCTATGGGGTCTCCAGTTTCTCCTATTGTTGCCAACCTGTACATGGAGGAGGTAGAAAAGAGAGCCTTGACGTCCTTTTCAGGGACACCACCAAGTCATTGGTTCAGGTATGTTGACGACACCTGGGTTAAAATTAAATCTCAGGATGTCCAACATTTTACTGACCACATCAACTCTGTGGATAAATACATCAAGTTCACACGAGAAGATGTAAAAAATGGCAAGTTGGCTTTCTTGGACTGTGAGGTCTCAGTCTCTGATAGAGGACATTTGCAAACTGAGGTGTACCGCAAACCCACCCACACAGACCAGTATTTGCAGTTTGACTCCCATCACCCTTTGGAGCACAAGTTAGGAGTCATCAGGACTCTGTATCACAGAGCAGACAGCGTCCCCACTAACTCAGGAGCCAGGCAGAAGGAGAAATCCTACACAAGACAGGCTCTAGAGCAATGTGGATATCCTAACTGGGCCTTCCTGAAAGCAGAGAAGAAACCCAAACAGGACTCCAGTCAGCCATCAGGTGAAAAGGAGGAACCCAGACCCAGACCAGTGGTCATTCCATATGTTGAGGGAGTATCAGAGAAAGTGAGACATTTATTTTCTGAACATAACATCCCAGTGGCTTTTAAACCCCAAAATACATTACGGCAAAGACTGGTTCATCCCAAAGATCCAGTCCCCCGGCACAAACAGAGTAATGTTGTGTATGCTGTTCAGTGTCAGGAGGGTGATCAGTCTTACATCGGGGAAACAAAACAGCCACTGGCCAAAAGGATGGCCCAGCACAGAAGATCAACATCATCAGGCCAGGACTCTGCGGTCTACACTCATCTCCAGGCCAGCGGTCACTCTTTCAGGGATGAAGATGTTCACATCCTGGACAGAGAGGAACGATGGTTTGAGAGAGGAGTAAAGGAGGCCATCTTTGTGAAAAGAAATCGTCCATCATTAAACAGGGGTGGAGGCCTCCGGGTTCAATTGTCCCCCTCTTACAATGCTGTGATTGCTAGTATCACTCAGCCCTCTGTGAATAGTAAACAGCCATCAGTGTGCTAATGATCCATTGTTAGGCTGATGGTCCTTCTTGAGCATGTGATCAGCTGGTTTTGGTTGTCAGCAGCAAAACTGGTTGATCCACTCTGAGAAGGTGCTATTTAAGAGACTGAGCTGAATACAGCTCCTCAGACTGAGGAAGTCTCTTGGATGAGAGACGAAACGTTTCTATATATTTTTTTGCTTTGTTTTGTTTTTGTTTTTTTGAATGTCCAGAGGACCAGATTGAACTTTTTTGGATTTTTCTACCTGGATTATTGAGCATGCATCAGGATATTAAGCTTGTTTATACTTTTTAAGCTACTTTTCAGCTGGTTTTTTTTTTGTTTTGTTGTTGTTAATTTCAGCTTTTTCAGATAATTTCCACTTTTTATGCTCATTTCTGCTTCTTTCAGCAAACATGCGTTCCTTCTGCTTTCTTCTGCTAATTTAAGGTTGTTCTACCCTTTCAGCTACTTTTTTTAGCATTATCAAGCTAATTTCAGCTGTTTTCAGATACCTAAATTCAAGCTTTTCGTGGTCACTTCTGCTACGTTCAGCCTAATTAACTTTTTTATAATTTCAGCTTGTTATGCCCCTTTAAGCTTTTTTCTGCTAGTTTCAACCTTTTCTGCTATTTCAGCTACTTTTTAGCTGTTTTAGTGCTAAATTTAGCTTTTTCAGCTAATTCCACATGTTTTAGATCATTTCAGCTCCTTCCACTTACTTCTGGTAGTTTAAGCTTATTTCTACCTTTTCAGCTACTTTTCAGCTCTTTTTCGTGAGCCTTGCAGTCATGTGCCGAGCAGCCATTTTTTGGAAATCAGTCTATTTTTGTGTTCACAGCTTGCATCTTGACATCTTGTCTGTGCACGTCTCATTCTGTTCCCAACTTGACAGCTGCCCCCACGCTTAGGATTTAATCTGTTGCAGAACACTTTTGAAATGAAGATAGGCAGATTTGGATAATTTTTTAAATAATAATTATTTATTGTCAGACTGGTTTTAACTTCAGATGTTTTCTGTCAGAAAAGAGCTCCATGCAGGTGTCAAAGTACTGCTGTAGTGCTCTTGAGCTGTACTGGAGATTCCCACGGCAGCTTTGTAAACCCACGAGACATCCTAGGGACTTCCTCATGTATACCATTCTGCAGCTAGTCACAGCTCAGTGAAAAGTGCCTGAACATGAAATGAAACTGTACCTTGTTGAGCAGAGAACCAGCTGACGTCTCCACAGACTTCTCAGATGCACGGAGCTGAATTTGAAGCTGAGCGACCTGCATTCTGCTTTCACTGAACTGGGCAGTGAGCTGCTCGAGCTGGGCTCGCAGATGACCGTTCTGAACCCTCATCTGCTCGTACAGAGTCCTGCTCTGCTCCAGTTGGGTTTTATTCTGAAGGAACTGGTTCTGGGTCTGGTCCAGCTGGGCTTGGAGGTGACTGGCTTGGTTACGGGTATAATCCAGCTCAGTCTTAGATTGGTCCAGCTGGGCTTTGATCTGGTTGTAATGTGCCTTTGCCTCCTCCAGCTGGGTCTGGCTCTGCTGGAGCTGGACAGTGAGCTGCTCCTGGGAGGAGCGCATGGTGGAGGAAATCTGCTCCGACACTTTGAGGAGCTGACCTCGACTCTGCTGCAGACACTCCAGCTGTTGGGAACAACAGAGCAGATGGATTAAAGCATTTTTAAATTAAAGGCCTATTTCTGAGATGTTGATGGCCTATTTCATGTGCATATAAGATCATATTATTACCTGTGAAATACTAATTTATATGAATTCATCCTACTTGCACTGCTATAGTCTACCATGTTGTTGTTTACTATTACTATATTTCTTTGGGACCTTGTAAATATATTTCTTTTTCAATTTTTGGTACTTTATTTTGTATGCTTTAGTATTTCTCGTTTGTTTTTAGCATCAGGAGCTGTTCCACAGCTCCGTCCATCAGGCCGTGAGGATGCTGAACTCTCTGCCTGCCCCCCCTCAGCCCCCTCTCCCACTTCTGCCACCCTGCACACACTAACTCAGCTTCCTGACACCCCCCCCCCTCACCCCCCCCTTCAAAACTGCTCTGGGACATTTATTTAGTTTTATGAATAGTTCATGAATCGGTCACTTTAACAGCCTACAAGCTCACTCTACTGTTTATTGCATTATATTTTGCACTACTGTTATGATCAACTCGTCCTGTTTATTCTTTATTCTGGTAATTCTGGTATTGTCATTTCCACTTAATCACCTCATCAGTACATAACTGTGACTATATAGAACCGGTATGCACACCTTCACTTTACTAAGTTTCTCAGGTTTATACTTTATATTGCACTATTGTTTACTCTGGCCTTGCACATCCATTATCTACCTCTCATCATGTTATTGTCTTCAGTCAGCGTCCCTTTGTCTCCTGTTAGTCACTATTGAGCACGTTGCATCAGAGGTCCTGCTGCTGTTCACTTTTATATAATATATATATATTTTTTATTTTTTTTATTTTTATTTTTTTATATTTTTTATATAACTAGTTGTGTTAGTTTATTTTTGCTAAGGTTGTTGTTTGCTGCAATTTGAGTAGGAGTGTAACGCAATTTCAATTTCTATGTATGTCCTGTACATATGCAGAATTGACAATAAAAAAATCAATCAATCAATCAAGTCGAATCAGTTCTTCTCATCCTGAACGTTTCACTGCATTGTTAACCTGCATATGACAAATAAACAACATAACATTCCTTTAAAAAATTCATTCAACCTTTATTCAGACAGATAAGTCACATTGAGCCTAGAAGACTCATTTGCAAGTGAGACCTGTTTAGACAGACTTAAAGTAATGAAAATGGACACATGTAAATGGATTGTACTTATATAGTGTCTTTCTATCTTATTTCAAGATATTCAAAGCTCTTTACACTACAATCTGTGTCCTCATTTACCCATTCATACAGCACTCTACTAGATCTCTACAAAGCTAATTGAACAAATCATTCTAAAGAGACTAATCAGAGCTTTATCACATTCATACACTGATGGGACACACATCAGAGGCAACGAGGGGTTCAGTGTCTTGCCCAGGGGCACTTCAGCATGTGACTGCTGGTGGATTTGAACCCCCGACTCTTGCATTGGAGGACGACTGCTCTAACCACTCAACCACAGCCGCCCACATGTAGGAATTGGAGGCAAAAAAAAATTCCTATCAGACTCTTTCTTCTTGGCTGAGAAGAAAAAACTCCCTGTTTCATGCCAGTTTTAAACAAAAATCAACTTGTGATACGAAAACACCAATGATAAGCTCAGTCTCATGCAATCTGCTAGCGCCAAGAATATGTGATGAGGGTGACTCACTATCACGTCAAACTTTAGTTATTTTGTTTTCAGAGGTTTCAGAGATCAGTTTGTTGTGGAAGCCATCTTGAATTGGAATGACTCCCACCTTTAATTCAGTATTCTCTGCACATCCAATGATTACTTTCTAACATTTTGATTGAAAATCATCCAGTGGTTCAAGAGATGTTTTGCTAAAATGAAAATAAAAAAAATAAATAAAAAAAATAAATTAATTAGTGAAAATCTCAATAAGAAGAGCAGAAAGCAGAGTGTTGCAGTAATCGATCCTGCAGATGATATAGGTGTGGACTAAAGTCACTGCATTAGATGATTAAGAACTGGCTAAACTCTCACAACATAATGTGACATGTGATGCAATCTAAAGGTTTATAGAATGGTGTTTGCATTACCAGCTCAGAAATGTTGAAAATCAGAGTTATTTTAAAACAGCTAGATCCAAATTGATGGGACTAGCCATTGTGTACATCAAGATACTTTAGGCAGGT